GTGAGAGTTAGGTGAGGCAATCTCTGCTCTGGAAGGGCTATTCAAAGTGGACTTTTATGCTGACACTCTTAGCAATATCCACGATCCCTTTGAGACCCTCTACTCAGAATCCGATCACTTAACCTCCTTTGACCAGATCGAAACTATTGACTACCACACAACCATCAATGTCAATGGGATCCGCATCACACCGTACCATGCTGGCCACGTCCTTGGAGGAGCAATGTTCATGGTTGAGATAGCTGGCTTAAAGATTCTATTCACAGGGGACTACTCTCGGGAAGATGACAGGCATTTGGTCTCGGCTGAAGCACCTCCAGTCAAGCCCGATGTACTTATTTGCGAAAGCACATACGGCACAGCTTCTCACATGCCCCGCCTAGAGAAGGAAGCCCGTTTAACACGCATGATTACCGATATTCTCACCCGTGGGGGACGAGTATTAATGCCCGTATTTGCCCTTGGTAGAGCCCAGGAGCTCCTACTGATCCTAGATGAGTACTGGGAGAAGCACAAGGAGTTCCAGTCATTTCCGATATATTATGCCTCTAACTTGGCACGGAAATGTATGCTTGTCTACCAAACTTACATCAACACCATGAATGAAAACATAAAGCGGATCATGTATGGTGCTGATGGACAGAAACCTCGAAATCCATGGGAATTTCGACATATCAGGGCCTTGAAGAGTTTGGAGAGGTTCGAGGATGTTGGGGGCTGTGTCATGCTCGCTAGTCCAGGTATGTTGCAGAATGGAGTTTCTCGAGAGTTGCTGGAGCGATGGGCACCAGATCCCAAGAATGGGTTAATCATCACGGGCTACAGTGTTGAGGGGACGATGGCAAAACAGATTATGAATGAACCTCCAGAAATACCAGCCGTGATGAGCGCTGCGAGAGCTGGGGGAAGGGGAAGAGAAGAGGGGATCATGATTCCTAGGAGAATAACCGTTGAGGAGCTGAGCTTTGCGGCACATGTAGATTATAGCCAGAACAGTGGCTTCATTGAAGAAGTTGGGGCTGGTGTGGTGGTAAGAATAATCACTTTCCAGTATGTTTTAGACTAACATAATTTTGTCTTTGTAGATTCTTGTACACGGAGAGCAAAATAATATGGGGCGTTTAAAGTCCGCCCTATTATCGAAAAATTCCGACAAGAAGGATAAGGTAAAGATATATAATCCTAAAAATTGCGAGATTCTCAAAATCCCATTCAAATCAGACAAAATCGCCAAGGTCGTCGGTAAACTCGCCGCAAAACCACCTCCTAAACTCTCCTCCCTCCTCTCTCAAAAACCTGGTGACATGGAACAAATTATTAGCGGAGTCCTCGTCCAGAACGACTTCAAACTCTCTCTAATGGCACCAGAGGATCTTAGAGAATATGCAGGCCTAACTACTACAGTTATAACATGTAGACAGAGGGTACATGTAGCTGCTGCAGGCACTGCGATGATTCGATGGGCACTTGAAGGGATGTTTGGTGCTGTCGTGGACATACCTGATCTGGATGCTGAGGACTACGAGGACGAGGGATTGGTAGCAGTGATGAAGAAGAAGATAAATGGAAAGGCAGCAGATGAATTGATCACCGGGAACACATTCAAGGTAATGGATTGTGTGATTATCCGATGCAGGACTGACAAAGGCTATGTCGAAGCCGAGTGGGAAGGGAACGTATTGAATGATGGAATAGCAGATGCGGTGGTGGCGAGTCTGTTGATGTTGGAGACTAGTCCGGCAGCGGTAAAGTGTGAGTTCTAAAATTTCCGATTACCCTGAAGCACATATTCACTAACGCACGTAAATCCAGTCTCATCGAAATCCCACTCTCACGCCCACGCGGACGAAGACGAAGATGACGGTTATGAGCCCTCACTAGAGGAAATCCCTTCTGCATCCGCCCATGCCCACATAAGCCCTCAAACTCGACTTGAAAGAATCCTTCACTCACTAGAAGAGCAATTTGGAGACTGTGTCACACCCATCGAAGACCTGACCCTCCTACCCCCTTCTTACCTTCCAAGCACAAACACCAAAACCATCACAGATGGCGAGGACGTGAAAAAGGAGGAAGACGGTGACGAGATGGACACAAAAACCCGGGAAATAGCCATCGAAGCCGCTAGGAAGCGATTAGCAAAGTTGGGACTTACCTGCCCCGGCGTAGAAGTTCGCGTCGATGAACATGTTGCCAAGGTTTGGTTTGAGGGGTTGGACGTGGAGTGTAAACTGGATAGTTTGAGGATGAGGTTGAAGACTTTGGTGGAGAGGGCTGTGGAGGGTGTTGCGCCGTTGGTGGATTTAGGGTGGGGGAATGGTTCTACAGTGACGTATTGACGTGTTTAGATGAGGTGGGGATTGTGATCTAGTGGAGAATGGTGCACGATGATGATATTGCTGTTAATAATTTCTTAGTGGCTGATTTATTATCATGGTAGAAAATAGGCGTTTGTGGTTTTATCTACTGGATGCGTTCATGGAAAAACACAAGAATATTCTCAAATGATATTTGGGGGACGAATCTAGCTGAAATACCAATAATAGCGAATACATCCCGATATCGGTAGAACGCACTGTTTGTTTTTACACATGTATTCGCATACACGAACGCAATAAGGTAGGTAGGGGGTGGGGGGGTAATCTTGAGGGTAGCGCTAAAATATCCCTAGAAAAAAAAACTGTTAAAATTTAGAGGTTTATATAAACTCATCTTCCTAACCTACTACTAACCTTTGTTTTGGTTTCGTCATGTTTTGGTTTCGTCATGTTTGGTAGTAGATATAGAACAAACAAATCTGCATACTCTTTTTACTCCTAGGCTTTAGGGGGGGCTGACCAAAGACTATTTTTTTCCATCTTTGGCCGAGCAAATTTGTGGGTGGGGCGGGGGGATTTGTTAGTTCAGGGTAACTTGAGCTCATGGTTTGATGTGCATACTACTCTATACAAGGGGGTTTTTTTTTTCCCCCGATGCGGATTCCAAAGCAATATGCCGTTTGCCGACACTCTTCTCAATAAGCATCAATTCCACCAAGCGCCTAGATCACGAGACCAGGTGATATAGCAATTATGTTAGTCACGTGTGTAGGTAGAGGCTTGCTTATCGCGGCATTCTTTCACCACTGATAATATTACTATAAGTTGGATTATATAGGCATTCCTTATGATGTAATTATCTTCCCGTTACATTTAAGGGTAAGTGTACCCATGGTTTATGCACTTTGGCCACTAGATTAAGATAGCGGTATCATATTGATATGCTCCTAGTGGCCCCGCATATCGGATTTACCTTATCCCTATCTGTATAAAATTAATAGCTTCCTCATCGAGACCTATCTCATCGTCCCATCTTTCTTTTTGATCCGTTTTTACTTTGCAGCACCCTTGTTCCCTTTTTCTTTGTATAGCATTGAACTTCATTATGGTTGAGTCCTTGCCATCCTTTGGCGATGCAGTATTTGCGGCGTTTATCGTTCAGAGCTAATTTTATTTTATTTTTATTTTTATTTTTTTTTTTTTGATGGTCAAGTGAGTCCTTCTTGTGTTGCTGCTGTCCCCCCCCCCCCCCCCCCCCCCCCTTCTGTCGTGCTTTCTTGATTTTTGCAGGCTGCATCGTCATAGGTTTGTAATCTTTGGATCTGATGTTTTCAACAGTTTTGCTTGCATAAACTGGATTTGAGTAACCAGACTAGATTTGAGTAGGAGCTCAGTTTTCCACTTGTTTGCATCTGGGAAAGGCCAATATGTAGTCCTCTACCGAACCCTGTGTCCTTGGTCTAGCGATAATTCCTGCCGAACGTATTCCATGTTTTCTCGTATGCGGTGATATGGGATCCGTGATTATAGTCATTAATGGATGTATAGGCTTTCTTCGAGCAAGGACATGGAAAAATTCCGTTGCGGGCTTTTCCCCCTCATAAGCTTGCTTAAGGGGTATTCCAAGCGTTCCATAGTTAGTTCCCAAATCCGACTCCTGACCCTTGGCCTCGCAATCTCTTCAGGATGGTAAGGAGAAATGTAATTAATTCCGTCCATCCATTCTTCTGGATTAGTTTTCTATAAGTGGCCTTCAACAATATCCCAGGCTCGGCGGTGAATACCTATTCTAAAGAAGAGCTTCATGGTGGTTACCCATTCAGGGTAATTATCTGGCCCACTCAGTTTAGCTGTAATGGTGAGATATCGGGGTTGGTAGTCGAGCTGTTGCTAGTTGGTGGAGGTTTATTTGTAGGAAAATACTCTCCCAGCAACCAGTAATGAGGCAATGAAAGCATGTACTGATGAGACGATGAGGGGATGAAAAGCATGTGCTGATTGGGGTCAACAAACCTGTGAGTTGGTGTCACTGCGGCATAACATAACATAACATAGACAAGATGACATGCGTACGGATTCATGTAATCCACCAATCAACAAACTTGATCTCCCGCATACAAGACAGCGTCTAAGATATCTCACAATTCCTCTCACACTAGATAAGCCTATCTAATTTACGGGTTATGAGCCCCCGCGCTCCAACAAACAAACAAATACCTCTAGAGGCAAAGATATCTCTAGAGGCAAATATCGTAAATTAGATAAGCTTATCTAGTATGAGATAAAGTTCTGAGATATCTTATACGCTGTCTTGTATGCGGGAGATCAATTTCGTTATAGCAGTATAATGGACGTACAGGCTTTCGAGCAAGGCATGGAATTTCTTTGCGGTTTTTTCCTCATAAGCTTGCTTAAGTGTATTCCAAGCGTCCTTAGCCTTCTCCATAGTTCCAATCCGTCACCGAGCCTGGGACATTATTGAAGGCACTTATAGAAAACCCTCAACTAATCCCAGAAAAATGGTTGGTCGGAAATAATTCCAATCTCCTTACCATACTGAAGAATTGCGAGGCCCAGGTCCGGAGTCGAATTGGAACTATAGGCCAAGATTCGATTCACCAAAAAGAATCTCCCAAATAGAAGTGATATAGGTCCCCAGAATTTCTACAAAAATGAATGATAAGCCCAATGCGAGGCTCGAACTCGCGACCTTGAGATCCCTCATGAACCTGTACAGCACCAGGAACTTAAGAGTCACACGCTCTACCGACTGAGCCAACCGGGCTTTCAATATACCAGACACTGTGTAAATTCTATATATGTAATTATTTCTATAGTACTTTTATAAAACTGTTGTAGGTACGTTTAGAAAATAAAAATCGCAATTCGTCACTTTCGTGCCGATATTAAACTTTCGTCCACTTGATATGGATTCGCATAACAGGCCATCGAAACCAGTATTGGGATACTACGGGTTAAGTTACGTACCAGCTAAGTTATAAGTAGCCCCCGGTGTACAGTAACAAGGACCCGGTCTGTTGGGGAATTTCTCTCCACAAATCTATAGCATTGATGGATCCTGGTCTGAGCCTAGAATCGTTCTAATTCCACTATAGGTTGGTAACCTGGTTTTACTGGTCATGATTTACCTACAGATACTGAAACTGCCTTCTATAGTAAGGATGGAGAGGTTACCTACCTAGACAATGGTTATTAGCGTATGGCTGGAGCCGGGACACTGGTGCCTTCAAGAGAAAAGAGCTCTATTACCCTGAATCCACTGCAAAGAAACGTTAGGAGCGGAGGGTACACATACAAGGGCTTTTTATACAGTCACGCAACCGAGGTGAGTATAGTAAATGATGTCTCGAAGTTGACCCATTTTGTGCGCTGCAAGTGTCCGCTTACTTATGTATGTTGCGCGATCGTTACCATTTCAATCAAGACTCTAGCGTTATAAGTAAGATCAAATTTCAGAATTTGATAATAACGAAACCATCAACAACTTCCTGAACAATTCCAAAAGCAAAAACAAAAAACCGACTTTTCCAGGTTTTTCCTCTGTCAGGTTCACTTGGCTTGGAGAACAACTTTCCTCGGTAATTCGAGCGAATGGGACTTGCGTCTAAAATAAATAAACAAGGGACATGGGACCTCGAGACTACCCAGTTAGCAGCACAGGAAAAATAAAAGCAGACTCAAAGGAGATTTCGTAACGTCGTAAAGTCGTAAAAGTCGTAACCGATAGTAAGCTGTAAAACCAGCGTCTCAATCCTTTTCCACCTTTCTCCAGGAGCGTTTTACCATATTGACCATCAAAGAACGCTCTTCCTTCCTTTCCATCCTCCACTTGTATGCCAGTTATTGATTACTTGCAGAACAGGGATCTAATCTGCTCTTCCTTTCCCTTTTCCAATTGGCTCGTGCTTGAGATCCTCCAAGCTCATTGCCATAGCCCTGTCAATTTGCTCCTGTTCCTCAAGTGTAAGTTTCTCTTCTGGTCCTTCTTCTCCAACGCCTCCTTCTACTTCTTCAGCTTCTTTTTCTACTTCATCTTTGATATCCTCCTCATCTTCAAGCCCTTCTTCAGACTTCAGGACTACACAAGCCATCCCTCCATTTGATGCTTTTGCCCTTCGAATTCCCACCCCACTGCCTGAGGCAACGGCACTTGCTGCCGCTCTTGGTTGCATACGGTCAAATACAAAGAGATGCCCACCATCCTCAGAATCCGATCCTGCCTCCGGGCTGCTTCCGCTCAAAACTTCCGGGCCGAGGCCTTGTTCGTATGCCTCAAGTAGGGCCTCCTGCTGCTCTACTTCCGTCGACGATACAAACCGACCAAGTCCAGCCCTCTTGAACTCCCATAGTGGCAACCCACCAACCATATCAGGGTCTAGATCAGAGTCTACTGTGTCGATAGCCGACTTGCTAGGGATGACTAGATCCTCAGGAGCAAGAGAGAGTCTCCTTAATTCCTTTGCAAGCCCCATGGCTGCCTTTCGAGTGGAAGAAGCGCCTACATCATGCAGGGAAGAGGCGCTGTTGAGGCCATATGCATGCACACTAGGCCACCAGTCGGCGAAAGCCGATCTCGACCCTTGCGGAAATGCCATTTCATCATCCGGTTGCAAACCTGCTTCTTCGTTTTCACTTTCCTCAGAAATTTTGTCTCCATAGCAAGTCTCATTCCCATCTCCTGAGAGGTCCTTTCTAAGATAGTAAATACCCCCTTCTAGTTCAATGCTTTTATCGTCATCTTCAAAATTGCCATCCTCGCTCTCATCAGCACCGTGAAAGAGACTCCTTATTTCCAGTTTATCGCCAAATTTGGCCCCTTGGCGAATTCTGCTGCTTGAATCCTCTGTTAAAATAGAACTGCCATCATGCCACTTCTTGCCCCCGCCATTTTCTTCATAAACCGCATTCAGCAGGTTGATATCAGCAACACTGAGTCCACGCGGGCGGAATGTTTCAGGAGCTTTATCTCTCGCACTCTGTGTACTGTGGCTCAAATCAACATTTAGGTCTTCATCGTTGAGTTTCAAGCTTGTCGACCTCAGGGCACTTTTCTCCTTCGTGTCCCCGCGTCCCTGGAGCGGGCCAATAGATGGCTCTAGGGTCCGATCTACATCGGCAAGAAAATCTGGGATACTGGTGAAGTTTGAGAAGGGGTTTGAAGTCATTGGCCTCGAAATCCCACCAGCAGCAGAGTTAAATTTCTGAATTTGCTGTACTATGTCCCTATCGTTCTTGGATAGTTTTCTCGTGGAGTTGAGAGCAGTTTCGAAACCTTGGCATTGCGAACCTCTTGAATAGGGTCTAGAAGCGCTCACACCGATATATGCATGCGCAATCGGAGTGGGTGGACTTTGAATGCTTGATGACATTGGAGGGCGGTCTTGGGCTGCACTGTGGCTATCCTCCACAATTTTGAATCCCTGTGGGTTGCCAACTGGTTTGAGTGGCAGTGCTTGCAAGTGGGAATCCTTAGGAGTAGCAGGCTTCGAAGAATGAGCACTCCTATAAGACATATATGTATGAAGAACCGGTAAAGGCTTCGACCACGATGGGCATAAATATTTGGGAGACCTTGAGGTAGGCTTTGATAGACTTTGAGCTCAGGCTAGTGAAATAGAAAGGAACGGAAGTTCTTGGAACAGAATTGGGGTTGGTACGTTCTCAGCCCTGATATATAAGTATTTATGCCCATCCGTATGGGACATAGAAGCTCGAAGCATGTGAAATCCTCGCCATAGGAAACGTAGACGTGCAAAACTCGTATAACATCTGCGCGCTCGAAAATATTTGGATGAACAACACACCTTACATGCCAGTCAGAATTAAAAATCTGCTGTGTGTCTAGTTAGTTCAGATGTCATATCAATGTATCACCTGCTCAAATTTTACTGTCTCTGAAGTTTTGTTATTATGAGTAAAGCCCGTCAATGTGTAGAGGTATTTCGCGTACGTACTAGTGTATTAATGAATTCCGCGCTCAATTAGTCTGGTTGCGCTCAATGTACATGGCAGTGGTCGAATTGAGTAAGAGCAATCGAAATTTTCCGAATATCACAATTCAAAGCATGGCCTTATCGGCGTTTTTCTTTATAAAATTGGCTGTATGCATTAGCGTGTGTCTTCTGACGGCTCTACTAAGGGTTGGTGTAGCATCAATATACTAGCGATGAGGTGAGTCTGGATTTGCAGTCAAAAGACAGCTCGTTTTTGGTTGCGCGGAAACCTACTGTTATCGCTGTGACCCTAGGTGTATTCTATATATAATATCAGTGTGAAAAATTCTAGAGAGTATGGAAATGACTGAAAGTGGAACACCGCGCCTGAGCTTCCAGCGGTCATCCTCCCCGAGTGGCTACTCTATGAATGATTAAATAAAATCACCATCGGTCTCTTGCCAACTATTATCTGAAAGGTATTTCATCAGATATAGCCTTACTCAAGGCTACTTCGTTTCTGACCATACAAGTCATCATGGGGCCTGACACAGGGCTATGGCATTGAGTGGGAGTTTTCTTTTTTTACAAAAATTATTATTCATTCGTATTTCCCCTAATCTTTTTAAAAGAAAAACTCATTACTCGTGTGTGGCCTCAATAAATTCATTACTCGTGTGTGGCCTCAATAGTCCTCAAACCTGGTTGGAGGCTAGGCAGCTGCGTGAAGATGTAGCCAAATAAGGCTTCTACTCCATCCCAGTATTTGCCGGCATCATTCGTCTTCAAAAACATTTTGTCAAGGTTTTCCCAGACTGATGTCCCAATTAGTGGGCCATGGCGAGCCCAGAATCCTGGATAAATCCAACGGTCAGGCAAGTTAGTCTGCCAGCCCGGGCAGGCAATTATATACATTCAGGGAATAGAAGGACAGATTCGTATCGTTTCTGCTCTCGTCTGTCCGCTCTCCCTCTCTCACTGCTCTCTCCCCCCTCAGCCGTACATACTAAACAAGATGCATCTCATCCTCTTCTTGCCTCCAAATCGGCTCTTCAAGGTATTCTCAGACTGTTGCCGTTCCATGGCTCTGATGAGTTCCCTTCTCATGGTTTGGTAGTTGAGGCAGACGAAGGTTGATTTGATAGTGCACTGAGGGATACTATGATTGTTCCACGGAGCGAGTGGCATACGGCCAGGCACTGTGTGGGATCGAACGATCAGTCCATGGCTATGGCTACCAAGTGCCGCTAAGTTATCACGGGAAGCCTCGGGAGTTTTTCATCAAGTGCAATACTGTATCAAGGGTAACGATCAATTTTATGCAGGGTGCAGGTGTATGTACAGCGCCAAGCATGTGGCCCGGGTCAGCTACCACTAATACTGTTATACGTATACAAGTGTGCTGTAAATACTCGGCTGGACAGTTGTTGTTCAACAGTGCGGCTCTGCATCAATGTTCTTTTCTAGCAGGGTTCTCCTCCTGACGTCCACCAGGCCAGCAAAGAGTGTTCAAGTGGATATCAGATTACGTACAGCATAATGGTGTTGGCCCTATAAATTCAATTATGGGTCATGTCCAGAATTTAGTACTACTGGCAATAGACCTAATTATTTATATATATATATGATCTAGGGAATTAGGGGAGTCCCAAACTACCCTTGAGGCTTGAGGCTAGGCAAAGCCACCTTGTTGAGCGAAAATTTATATATACATGTGTGTCAATTGCAATAGCACGACGTTGCAATCCATCATTTATATACCAGTAGCTGTAGACTAGCATTTTCCATGGCCACGAGAGCCTCATATTGAAATTTCTTTTTCTTTTCTTTT